CAAAGCGACATCGACAGAGATTGGTAGCATCCTACTCCGCCACTATCAAGCAGCACATCATGCCTTACTGCTGACCTTGACCACTTCCTCCTGCTGCCCGTCACGACCTACTACAAACACTACGACAGGCAGTTTTGCATTCAAGGCTACTGCCCCGCCAGCCTTCCCATCGCCCTCAATTATCCCACCTCCTTCGCCAGTCTGCCCACCATTGCCGCTTGCACCACCTCGCCCACAACATTTCTGGGTACCCTCTTCTCATCCTCAGGTACCTGCTCCTGATGTGGACCCAGACACCCCAACCAGTGACCCTGCTCGTTGAGGGTCCTGCATCCGGCCCTAATGATCCAGATACACCACCCGGCATCCCTGTTACCGCGAGAGAAGCACCACATTCCTCGCCTGTACAACCTTCTCTTATCCACAACCCTCCTTCTCCCTCTGCTTCTCCCACAGATCTCGTGTCTCTAGACAGAGTTGTCCCCCGGAGCAGCCAGCTAATCCACTCCCCCACCCGTTATGTGTTACATGTGGGATGCAACCCTGCCGACAACAAGTCTGCTGCACTGGCGAGAGTATTGTAATGGATATTTCCCCTACAACTACAACTGCCGTTTGTCGCTGACTAGCCAATCCCTTGTCGAGTTCCCCAGCCAAAGCCTTGTGGTCTAACAAAGCGGAGTCGGCTATCAAGCCACGCCTACCTCCGCTATATAAGCTCTCAACCTCGCCGTGATCTCCCAGTCATCAGTCACTCTCTAACCCTCTCTCACCATGAACGGTTACGAGTTTGATAACGTGGCGCGGATACGTCCGGATACGCCGACCTGCCCCAAGAAATTAAACCTCCTAGTTCTCCAGAAGTTCTTTGAAACTAATTGGCTCGAGGGGGGGCAAGGTGGAACGTCTAAAGCTCCATGGAGATCCCAGACATCAACGGCATTCCATTTAAAATGATTGCCTACAAGTGGGACAACCTGAAGCTGGGAGTAATCTCCACGCCGAAATACGTGGACCAAGCAGAGCTAGTGGGCTCAAGGGGCAACTCAAGTTGTGAAGAAGCTGTCCGACACCACTGCCCTCATCGGACACCACTCCCCACCCAAGGCTCAACTGGCGTGGGTAACTGTGCTGTCAAGCCCTACTGCAGACCGAAACGGTGTTACAAATGCCAGCACTACGGACACACTGTAAACAAGTGTGAGGCGCAGGAGGACACCTGTTCCATGTGGCAGCCCGGACACCGCTGGTCTGCCCCAACACAGTAAAAATAATGCGCTGCTTGTGGTGCCATCCTCCGCCGATCGGACCTGCCGAAATGGAAGGAGGAATGCAGGATAGCCAAGGCTCGTCTCGACAAAGCTAAAAGAGGGGCTCCTTGCTGTACGCTCCCAAGACAAGAAAAAACCAGCAGAAAAGAAAAACCAGAAAAGAAAACTCAGAGGGCCCACCACACAGAACCAAGAACACCACAGAGGCCCGTGGAGCTGAAGCCCGGTGGTCAACCCCCGTCTCCGACTTCTTCCACATCTATGAGGACTTAAAACACGAGGAAGACGAACAACCAAACACAAATGAATGGACACTTCAAGAGAGCAAGAGAGAGAGGAGGAGAGAGAAGAAAATCGACATCAAGCTAAAACCAAGACATTTCCTCCACACAAGAAACCAACACACAATCAAGCCGACCAAGCACGGAAAATCCATTGCCCAACCCAACACGCACCTGACGCTTGACCTGACGCTAGCCTGGCTCTGTCTTGTCGCCTCCCTGCCGCGTCCGGGCGAGTTGCTGCTGCCTCCATCTTATACTCCCTCACGCAAGCGGTGTTTAGCCACTGCATCTATTCTCTCCTCCAAAATTCATTTCAATCCTTTATTCTTCCCTGAACCTCCTTCCACTGTCACTAGAATTTAATCTATTCTATTTCGTGATCTCCTTCTTCTACCTGAGCCCGCAACAAGCAACACCTCCTCTGAGCAAGCTCCTCACCAACCAGCTCTACTCCACGCTTCTAACCACGCAGCAACTTCCCAGCACCAAACTGCACTGTGCATCAATACAATATATATATATATATATATATATATATATATATATATATATATATATATATATATATATATATATATATATATATATATATATAAGAACATAAGAACATAAGAAAGTGGATACTGCAGGAGGCCGACTGGCCCATACAGGCAGATCCCTTTCACACCCATCCCAGCACTTCCATGTGCCTATCCAACTTCGTCTTGAAGCTCCTAGCGTCCCCGATCCTACCATAGCACTTCCGGTAGCCTATTCCACATATCCACAACTCTATTACCAAACCAGTGCTTGCCCAAATCCTTTCTGAATGGAATTTATCTAATTTAAAGCCATTTGTTCTAGTTATTTCGTTATTACTGAGCTCAGAACATCTTCCATTTTACCCTTGTTAATCCCACTTTACCCACTTGTACACCCTATCATATCTCCCCAACTCTACGCCTCTCTAATGAATGTGCCTAAGCTTTTCAGTCTTTCTTCATATGGAAGGTTTCTAATATTATGGATCATTTTTGTCATTCTTCTGTACTCTCTCCAAAGAATCTATGTCCATTCTATAATAAGGACACCAGAACTGAACCGCATAATCCATGTGTGGCCTCACTAATGCTAGGTAAAGTTTCAAGATAACGTCAGCAGTTCTGTTACTCACACCCCTAGATATGAACCCAAGAATCCTGTTTGCCTTGTTGCGAACGCTAATACATTGCTTTCTAGGTTTCAAGTCGTTGCTAACAAATACACCTAGATCTTTTTCACAAACTGAGTTTTCTATTTCCGTGTTACCTAGTTTATACTTAACGTTTGTATTCGTCTTCCCTATCTGTAGTACCTTGCATTGTGAGTTTCCTTTCTCCAACCCATCCTGAGTGCGAGACAACATCACGAAACCCCACAGTATCTCGGAGTTGTGAGACGCTGGCTGAGGAGGGCGAGGGACGCCCCAACCTTACTCTCAGCCACGAATCCACTCCGTTCACAGGTATGTCTTAAGTACTGCGTGTAGGCCCAGCCCTATTAAGTGATTTGACGTAGTTGTGTGTTGTTTGAATATGCAAGTAATCCAGTAACGTAACTTTGATGTGTTTTAAGTAAAGTGTTCATGCGCCTTAAGCTTTTAAAATCTTTATAACATTCGTGTCACCTCACTCTCAGCCACGAATCCACTCCGTTAACAGATTCCTGTAGGCCAAGGTTCCGAGTAGACCAAGACTACATCCAGGACTAGCATGGAGGTTGATGAAAACCATTGAGACCAGATAGAGCGAATTTTCACATGTGTGCTCCCTGTGAACGATCCCATCAAACCTTATTAATTTCTAAACCACACGGAAAAAATACATTTGTGAAGTGGACATGAGAGCAGGATATGAGAGCTGTGTCTAGTCTGCACTATTTGAAGTATTACTGGTGGGTACTGTAAGTTTTCTTTGCGAATAAGCGGGGTATGCTTTACGAGTATTAAATATGGGTGTTAAAATGTCAATTGCTGGTAAGAGGGATTGTAAACAGTGAGTTATTCCTGTATATGAAGACAGCAAAGTGTATGTCTAACAGTGACAGGCAAAACAAGGAACTACAGTACAGTCAGCCCTCTATTTACACATATTGTGAAAGTGCATGGTCCCACTTACACAGTCAAGTAATTGTTATCCTGTATTTTTTGGACATGGTCTAGATTCACTTATACACAGTTCAATATGGTCACCACATTTGTTCTTAAAAAAAATTATCTAAAAGCTTCATTCAAAGTAAATCTTGACATTAACTTCATGTTTGACCTCTCCTTTTTAATGTGACTGCAAGTTATAACAATAAGCTTACGGTAACTGTTACACTACCAGCCGTGTTTACAGGAACACAACCCCCACAAATAATGGAGACCACCAAAGATTTGCAGAATAAAACCAAACTTCTGATAATTATTAGTTTTTTCCACACGTCTAACACCACTACCCCTGGTCCTAACTTCTTAAAACTTGTGACAATTTCTATTTGCTCGGTGTTATTCACGAATGTCCCACTGTGTAATTGAGGGCCAAATGTTGTCAGTATGTACATGGCCCAGCATTTCAACACAGTTTATTCAATTTCTTCTCTTATTTGCCTATTCACATTCAACACCAAACACACGCAAGTACAGTGTTAAAATGAACATGATATGTTATGATTTCTGACCACTTATAATGTTGTTAGATATGTGTACTTCTTCATAACAAATAATTTGTCTCAGATGTCGATACAAAATCACAGTACTGTACCTGTATGCTGGAGAAATTAGTATAATATTATATTTTGATCCTTAACAGTCTTATCAGGAGAAATATGCACCATGAACTGACTACCTTAGCTTGTATCTTACACTAACTCTGATATTTTCATGGATTTCTGAAAAACAAATTTTTTCACACAATGTACTGTTATTTATATCATTAGTAGAATGTCACCATGCTCTACTAACTCTCTGTGAAGTATTGTTACTCAGGATGTACAAACCCATTCACATCTATATTGCAGTTAAAAAGTCCATCACAATTTTGTTTGCATGTGCAGTATTTAAAAAATAAAAATAAAAACATCAGTGTTAAGAACTTTCTCTATCTCCTTACTTCCAATACCCCGCATATATTTACTGCAACCATCAACACTACATTATTTAATAAAATCCTCACAACAGACTCTGATCCTGTGTTGATATTATTTATGTATCTTTTTAAGTTAATGAAATACCTCAACAACATTCTCTTACTGCCAATTACGATTAACATAAGCATACTGTATAGATCAACGCAAAGTGTACAGTATATGAGGTTCTGTGCATCCTTATAGATTGTTAAGGACTTGCAACTAATTCCTTCACATGCCTTCCTTGTAAGCTTTCACCTTAATTTCCATCCTTCATAAATACAAACTTAACAGTAAACAAGAGTAGATTCAATCTTACGTTTTCACAGGGTGGACACTTCTTCTCGGTGCACAGAGCACCTTCTCCCAGTACACACTCACATTCTTCACACTCACTTGTCTCAAACACGGACCCAATATCATATCTAAAAAAAATAAGAAAACAAAACAAATTAAACCGTGTAATATGAAAAACAGCTATTTACATGTGAAACAAACTTCTTTTTCCAGTATCACTATCACTCGAAAAACTAAAATAACACTCACCGTTGACCATCTTTGTAGCAAGGACATAAGAACTGTGCCACGCAGGACTGACCATCAAAGACCTGGCCATAAGAACATGGAAGGCAGCTGTCATAATACTGGGGTAGAAGACCCGGGCAAGGTGTGCAGTAAGCTGGTGGAGGCTCAGTTGAAGTTACTCTGGGTAGTGGTGTAGTGGTCACATCCGCTGATTAATGGTAATTATCGTTAGATTTACTTTCCTTTTCTTTACTTATAATTAATGTGTGTGTGTGTGTGTGTGTAAATCTTGTATCAACACGTAATTTCTAAATACACACACACACACACACGCAGATTTCAATTTTAGTGGAATAAGTGTTACAAAAATAATATCCCTTGTTGTATCATTAAAGTTACTTACATTGGTGTACTTGGATATTTATCATTAAAAATATCTGTAATAGTTAATGAGTGACGAAGATATGTTACTAACGGTATGGGTGGAAACAGCCGAGCACTTCAACTCTCATGGCAATACTGGACTTCCATGTCTCAGGTCTGATCTCTAGGAAACGCGCTTGGATGAGTCGGTCAAACTTGGTTTCAACTGGTGTATTTCTGTCGTAGTTACCTGGGAACACCTGCAATGTCAATAGTAAAATCGTTAGGATAAAGACCAACTTAAATTTGTTGACAATTACAAATTTCATATTCTCTATAAAATAATTTGTAAAAGGTGCAAAAAATCTGTGACAGATTTAAAAAGCATAATGATATCATAGTTTGTCACTTGGCATATTACTGTACAGTTTGCTACAAATAACTACCTTATCTGTGCCATCTGAGTTCTGTATTGTGTTCCAGGTCTGCCCATCATGAGAGTAACGGACAGTAAAGGACCGGACCCACTCATCAGAACTACTTCGTCCCTGTGTTATCACTCCTGATAACTTACTTGGTTCCACAAAATCAAACTAAGGAAAGAAAAAAGTTATTGAATGGGTGTAAGTAATTAAAATATTCATGATATTTTTATGATATGTCCAACGTTATATTGTTAACTAACCCCAAAATTCATATCATTATCAGTGGATTTTAATTCTCTAAAGTCAATTATTCCAAAACATCATTACAAGTCACTGCCAAGAAAACTTGCATGAATTTCAGACAGCTGCTACTTGATATTTGACTTGTGTATTGATAAATCTAATAGTAACCAAGCACTCACTAACCCTAACAAACTGGCCAGACTTAGGTTCTGGTACCCAAGCCCCTGCAGATGTGTATGGAATGTCCTCTGTGTTAAGGCGAATATTTGACTTCCCATAAAAGTAGTCTTGGTCATTGAGAACTGAAGAGACCACAATCTGAAGGTCTGACAACTCGCCATTCTCCAGCCCCATCTGCTCCTCACACATTGGCTCTTCTGTATTGAAAAGAAATTTCTTCAAAATTGTCCAGAAAGAAATGTCATGTCAAAAATTTCAGAGGATAATAATATGTACATTTTAAATCGTTGAGTACAGTAACTTAACCCATGACACCAATAATGAAGAACAAGTCATCATGTTGAGAGGGAGGTTAAAACATGCTCAAAATATGAGACATCTTAATCAACTGTGCACATAAGGTGGATATTGTGCATGGAAACCTTTAATAATATCTCCTTTTCTTATTTAACGGTCAAATATATAAGGACTTGGGCTATGACAGAGTGGGATTTTAAACATTGTTCTCTAAGTACGGTATGTACATAAATAGCATGTGTTCCGACTTTCCGACTTAAGAATGTCCTCAGGAACGGAACCCGCTTGTAACCCAGGAATCCCCTGTGTGTGTGTGTGTGTGTGTGTGTGTATATATATATATATATATATATATATATATATATATATATATATATATATATATATATATATATATATATATATATATATATATATATATATATATATATATATATATATATATATATATATATATACATTAAGTGTTTCGTGTGCGAGAACATCAGCATATACCTAGATCACATACAGTGATTGTATATATATATATATATATATATATATATATATATATATATATATATATATATATATATATATATATATATATATATATATATATATATATATATATGTGTGTGTGTGTGTGTGTGTGTGTATTTTCACATCAGCCGGGAACATTTGGTGCAGAGCACTTCCGAGGATGAAAGATTTCCAGCTAACCAGACGACTTTCTCAGGCAAAGAAATATTCCTTATCCCCGGAATCTTTTTCGGTTACTGGGAAAAGTTTCCAAGTGTCTAAACTAGACATCGTGCACACACAGACACTAGCCCACTTCCACAGAACGTTTCTGGGTGCTTGGGATGTTTTCCTTGAGTCTAAACTACTGGATTCCGTAAATACAGTTCTAATTAAGTTAGAAACTCCATTTCCTTACTATAATAATCCATGACAGTTTATCTAAAAGCTTTGTTAAATAAATATATATATATAAAATTAAAAACCTATAAGATATAGGCATGAATGAAGCTGTGTGTTACAGCAAAGATTTTTATTTTCCACTCCCATGATGCAAGGTCAGGTGGAGGTAGAGTGGGGGATTAGTGGTCTCGCATTACTGACCTAATAGTGTCAGGTCAACCTTTCTTGGGGGGGAGGGGGTATTAGTGGGTCTCATGACCTGAAGATGTCTTGATTAAACACGAAACCTACAGTATTTTTAGAGAGATTGTGATAGGTATAAGTATAAATGGGCAAAGTTGTATTCCTCAACATTACATTACATAACATTATAAAATATGGAGAGAGAAAGCAGAAAGGTGTGGGTGATTAGAGACATGGGGTGGAAATGATTGTTGCCAAGCGCTCCTTAACAGCTGATATTTAACTCGCTACCATGCAGTCACACACAGGCAGATGTGTCATACAATAAGACCTTCACTCCTCATGCTTGCTGTCCCAGATTTCAGAAGGGCAAACTTTGATAGTTTGGAGAGGCAGTTGAGAGAAGGGGGCATCATGCTTGGGGGTGAACTACATGGACCTGACGGTTGAAACCGACCTCATAACGAGATCTGACGTTGCCGAGTTCCACGACAATTTAAATAATGAGTTACTTAATGCACAAAGCCAGAACATCATACAAAAAACTCAGATCAAACAACAATGACCCTAAATGGATAAATAATTATTTAAAAAACATTAATGGTCAAAAGAAGGCTATAAGTAGGAGGATAAATCATGGCGAAATTTACCTCCGGGATTATTGTAAGGTATTGGCTAAGGTATTGGTTAAGACCGAGATAAGGAAAGCAAAGAGGAAAAATGAGCTGAGGATAGCAAGGGAGGCGAAGACAAACCCCACGGGATTCTATGGAATGTATCAAACTAAAACACGAGAAAAGATTGGGCCAATACGGTCAGATACCGGCGAGCTAACTGATAACGACGGAGAAATGAGCAATAATCTGAATAAATATTTTTCAACAGTTTTCACCACCGAAAATTTAAACATGATACCCGAGGCACCGACTCTATTCAGAGATAGTGAAGAAAACAAATTAAGCGAGATAGTAGTGACTAGTAATGATGTTAGCAAGCAAATAGACAAACTAAAGCCTAATAAGTCACCTGGTCCCGATGAGATATTTGCCAGAGTATTAAAGGAATGTAAGGAAGAGCTTAGCATGCCCTTAGCAAAGATGTTTAACATGTCCTTAAAACAGGTGTAGTACCAGAATTCTGAAGGATAGCGAATGTAATACCGATTTTCAAGAAGGGGGATAGATCACTACCTTCCAATCAGTCAAACATCAATTGTAGGCAAATTACTGGAAGCAATCATTTCAAACTCTATTCGAAACCACCTGAAGAAGCACAAATTAATCAATGATTCCCAACATGGCTTCATAAGCGGGCGCTCATGTCTAACTAATCTATTAACAATCTTTTCATTAGTTTTCGAATCTATGGACGAGGGGCACAATTATGATGTGGTATATCTCGACTTTAGCAAAGCCTTCGACAGAGACCCCCACGAAAGACTAATAAGAAAGGTAGAAGCACATGGCATTAAAGGTAATATTCTAAAATGGATTAGGGCGTGGCTACAGGACAGGAAACAGCGAGTGAGCATTAACGGCACTAAATCCCATTGGAGTAACATCACTAGTGGAGTTCCCCAAGGCTCAGTACTTGGACCATTATTATTTATTATATACATAAACGACATAGATATCGGCATAGACAGCAACATAAGTAAATTTGCTGATGACACAAAACGTGTACACGAGACTCCACAAAACTACAGGATCTAAACAAATTTTTCGAATGGTCTGAAAAATGGCAGATGAAATTCAATGTGGATAAATGTAAAGTACTCAGTATAGGAGATATAAACAGGGAAACCAGATACCAGATGAACAACGATGCCATTGCAAAATCCGACAGCGAGAGAGATTTAGGAGTAATGATAAGTAGGAATCTTAAGCCAAGTAAACAATGTGTTTTTGCTCGTAACAAGGCTAATAAAGTACTTGGGTTCATACAAAGGAGTGTTAGTTATAAGACTAGCGAGGTCATCTTAAGATTATATCTTGCCCTTGTGAGACCTCACCTGGATTACGCAGTTCAGTTCTGGTCACCTTATTACAGAATGGATATAGAATCCTTGAAAAGAATCCAGAGGAGAATGACAAGACTAATCCCGGGCATTAGGAACCTTGAGTATAGAGACAGGTTAAAGCATCTTAATTTGCACTCCCTCGAGATACGTAGAGCAAGGGGCGGCATGATAGAGGTGTATAAATGGAAGTCAGGGCTAAACAAAGAGGACAGTACAAAGGTACTCAAACTATCCAACCAGGAGCAAACTCGTAACAATGGTTTTAAATTAGACAAATTTAGATTTAGGGGCAAAATAGGTAAACACTGGTTTCGAACAGTAGTGGATGAATGGAACAAGTTACCAAATATCATCATTAACTCGAATACGCTGGATAGCTTCAAACATAGGTTGGATGCTTATATGAGCAATAGGGGTTGGGTGTAAATGGGACTGCCCAGTATGGGCCAATAGGCCTGCTGCAGTTTCCTCCATTCTTATGTTCTTATGTGTGTGGCGGGGGTGTGATGTTGAGGTGTGTGTGTGTAGTTGTTGGAGGCTGTGTTTGGGTGGTTGATGGAGAGTGTGTGTGTGTGTGTGTGTGTAATACTGGGGGTGTGTGTGTGATGTTGCGGTGTGTGATGTGTGGGAATGGTGATGGTGTGGGTGATGTGGGGTGAGGGTGGTGTTGGGGTGTGTGTGGGTGAAGTAGAGGTTTTTTGGGGGTGAGGAGGTAAGGATCACGTGGTTAGTTCCCTCCCCTTCCTCAGTCAAGCGTGGCTAATTGTGATAGGGAGGTGAATTTGATACAATAATGATCCTGAATAAATTCTCTATGAGACGTTTCCAATATTATATCCTTATTTGAAAAACCCAATAATAAGGTAAAAATAAGTATTTTACTGTATATGAAGGGTACTGGTATTAATAAGTTTCTATCCCCAAGTCTCTATGTACGGAACTAAACAAAGAATTTATTTGAAATACTCTGTAACATTCAATACCACATTATCCTGACCTCTGGGGCTAGTTATACAGACTTTTCTCTGTGAAAAATCCACAATTTTGAGCAGCATATTACTGTATTCATTTTGTACTCAATGTACTATGCTAAAGGACTAAAAAAATTATCTATTGTGAAAATTATGAGATGTTTCAACTCAAATTAATCACTATTTTGCAAAGATTCCAGCCTAAAATAAAATTCATCCCATTAAACATTAACACCGCCGTTTCCCCCCCCCCCCTGGCTGGGAGGAGGAGGGTAGGTGGGGTGTTCACCCCCAGGAGGGGAGATTAATGTGTACTCAAGGATTATAAAAGACAAGGAGGTTAAGTGTTTCGCTAATATAATATCACTGACTTGATTTAGCAGAATATAACTTGCATTGTTGCAATTTTTGCAAGATAGCAATTAATTCAAGTATAAACATCCCATAGTTTGCACTAGGCATAAAAAAATTTGTAATTAACTTAGTACATTTGAGTACAGGTTGTGATAATTTATGTGGTTGCTCAGCAGTTGTGGTTGCAGTTGTGAAGCTTCGTGACATCACTATGTCCCACTGGGACATATTGTATGATATGCTTCCTTACTGTACGTCCCGGGTGCAGCGTCATACACTTCGTGACATTGAATCTTAGCAGCCATTTCTTCGACCATTCTTGAAACTGACAGAGATCCTTCTGCAGCTCTTCACAGTCTGCTTGGTTCTTAATTTCCCGAAATAACTTGGCATCTTTCGCAAACATGTAATTTATGAAGCAAACAAACAACAGCGGGCCCCATGCACTGCCTTATGGTACCCTGCTTGTGACGGGTACACATGATGATTTCGTACCTTTAATCACCACACACTGCTTGCGGTCATGTAGAAAGTCTCTGATCCACGTTAGGGCACTTCCCCCGAATCCGGTACCCTTCCAGTTTAATTTTCAGCTTTTCATGGGGTACGCTATTGAAAGCCTTGGCAAAATCAAGGTATATATTGTCGATATTACCACCCTGTTCTAGAATTTGGGTCCAAGCATCCAGTACCTTGAGTAATTGTGTTATACAGGAGCGCCCCGGCATAAAACCGTGTTGGCAGTCCTTTACAAGGTTGTTTTATACTAGATGTTCCATCATGGCATCTCTTATAATGCTCTCAAGTACTTTACATACTATACTGGTCAGGCTCACGAGACTATAGGTATTCATGGAGTGACGATCGCCCTTCTTGAAGATAGGAGTCACATAAGCCATTTTCCAATCACTGGGGTTCTTCTGCTCCTCCAGGCATTTACAAAACAGGATCTTCAGGGTTTAGCAAGCTCGTTGCACAACTCTCTTAGCACTCTAGGATGTACCATATCAGGGCCGGGACTCTTTGAACCTTTAGCTTTCACAGTGTATTTCTAATACCCTCTTCTGTGAACACAATGTGGGTCAGTGCTGTGTCGAACCGTCTGTCCTCAAATGCAGGAAGATTGATTGCATCATCTCTTGTGAAAACCAAGGAAAAAAAATGTTCCATACCTCAGCTTTGTCTTGGTCAGAATCTGCATAACTACCATCGTCAAGCCTCAGGTCTGATACTCCTACTCGCGTTTTTAATTTCGACTTTGTGTAGCGGTATAACGCCTTTGGGTTTTACTTGACCTCGCTTGCAACCAGCCTTTGGAACTCCTTTTCAGCCTCTTCTACACTCTGCCTTTGCTTGGTTCCTGGCTCTTGCATACTTCGTCTTGTCCAGCTCGTCTTTTGACCTAACCCATGCCTTGAATTTCTGGGTTTTCTGCTTAACTTTGTCGACCGCCGCATGGTTCATGTGTAGGGGTCTCCTTGTATTCCTAGAGGCACTGGGTTTGGTCTTGGGTATATATTTCTCGACCAAATGGTCTACTTTACTAACTATGATATTCAACATAGTGTCTGCATTCTTATGCCTTAATGAGTCAGGCCAGTGGATACCCTCATCTCCTCCCTCATCCCGTCGTAATTTCCTTTGTAATATTTACACCTTGGACTGGTATAATCGTGAACTAAGTATCCCACTAACCCACCACCCAAGAAAGGGTGACCGGACATTCCATCAGGTCAGTTATATTAGAACACTAATCCCCCACCCTACCTACACCTGACATGGAGTCAGGTCAGGCCCCCCCCCCCAAAAAAAAAAATACTTTACCTCTCGTCTTTATTCAAAACATTTTCAGAAAATGCTTTGGATTTTGAACTTCGGAAAAAAATTTCCCAAAGCCGGAAATTTTTGGAAAATTCCGGTTTTGGGAATGATTTTCTAAGCAAATTTCAATTGGGTGATAGGAGAGTTCCGGGTTTGAGGGATTCCGGCTAAATACGTGAGGGTACAGTATGTATACTATATGCTGTATATATATGTGAGGGTACAGTATGTATACTATATGATGTATAAATAAGTGTGGGTACAGTATGTATACTATATGCTGTATAAATAAGTGTGGGTACAGTATGTATACTATATGATGTATAAATAAGTGTGGGTACAGTATGTATACTATATGCTGTATAAATATGTGAGGGTACAGTATGTATACTATATGATGTATAAATAAGTGTGGGTACAGTATGTTTACTATATGCTGTATAAATATGTGAGGGTACAGTATGTATACTATATGATGTATAAATAAGTGTGGGTACAGTATGTATACTATATGCTGTATAAATAAGTGTGGGTACAGTATGTATACTATATGATGTATAAATAAGTGTGGGTACAGTATGTATACTATATGCTGTATAAATATGTGAGGGTACAGTATGTATACTATATGATGTATAAATAAGTGTGGGTACAGTATGTATACTATATGCTGTATAAATATGTGAGGGTACAGTATGTATACTATATGATGTATAAATAAGTGTGGGTACAGTATGTATACTATATGCTGTATAAATAAGTGTGGGTACAGTATGTATACTATATGATGTATAAATAAGTGTGGGTACAGTATGTATACTATATGCTGTATAAATAAGTGTGGGTACAGTATGTATACTATATGATGTGTGTGGGTACAGTATGTATACTATATGCTGTATAAATATGTGTACAGTATGTATACTATATGATGTATAAATAAGTGTGGGTACAGTATGTATACTATATGATGTATAAATATGTGAGGGTACAGTATGTATACTATATGATGTATAAATAAGTGTGGGTACAGTATGTATACTATATGATGTATAAATAAGTGTGGGTACAGTATGTATACTATATGATGTATAAATATGTGAGGGTACAGTATGTATACTATATGATGTATAAATAAGTGTGGGTACAATATGTCTACTATATATAAATAAGTGCGGGTACAGTATTGTAACATAGAAGGGTCACACTTCCATGTACATACACTGCACTGTCACCTCTAACTGCATGGCTTACTCCACTTGACCACCAAACCACTAGCTACCCAAGGCAACTAGTAGAACACGAGCCAGGAGATTTCTCCTGTTTGGTGGAAAACCTCGTCGGCTTTTGGGGGCGCCATCTATGTCAGGTGAAGTCTGCTCTGGCCAAGAAGTTATTGGCAGTTCTACTGTCATTCCCATCGGCTCCTGGGCTCTGTCGTGGTGTGACCCACTGTTACCGGCACTACCTGTACACCGCAGAATCTACTAGCCATCTATTTGTAACGTGTATTAGTACAGCTGAATTCACTATTTTTCACCTTTGTATATGTGTTTTTATGTTGATTTTGTTTTAAGAATATTTTTTTTAAAATCCGTTGCATATTTTTCACGTCTTACTGTTTATACTGTGTTGGGTGTTGTCATGTCAACCAGGAGTGTGGTGTCAAATATTCAATCAAGCCAAGTAATGCTATAATAACTAAACCTACAGTAAAACTAACTAGAAAAGTTCACAATACAAACAGATTGTCATTTGTTACATAATTGGGCATGAGTATTACAAGGTATTTTAACTTAATCATTTTAACCAAAAAGCCCCTAGACACACACAGGTAAAGAAATCATTTAAAATTTGAAAATTAAAATAAAAGTAAAAGTTAAAGTAAAGTAACTTAAGAGATTTGCCTTCTTGTTGCTCAGTTTCCGTTACAATATAAATGCCAAATTTTGAAGTAACTGGTAAATCTACTTTTTTTATATTGAAAACCAGCATATTGTTTTTCTCACTATACCAAGATAGTCATAATATTATATTCTTATTTCAATATCCAGAACAGTAATCAAATATGCTTACATAATGATTCAAAACATTAAGGAAGACAAACATCATAAAGAACTTTCTACCTTGCTATCTGTCAACCATTATCCCTTCTGAACTATATGAATTAAAATAATTATTACAATTTCAAAATGAAAGAAAACCAAACTGTTTTCTTCACACTAAGAACAAAAATTTTACTCATTGAACACAGTGATGCCAACATCTCCAGAACAATGTTCTACAATCTTTCATCTGCAGTATACCGTATATAGCTTGTACAGAACTGTATTAACTCTTCAACACCAGCAGAATCAAAACATTGAACCACATTACGTATGAACAACAACAAGCAATTAAGAGATATGAATCCAAAGGAAACAAAATCCTCTGATAAACTTTTTAAAAAATCTTTACACACAAACAAGTAGAATCCTCACTGTGTATGACAATCAATGAAGTTTCAGAAAGGGGAAAAGGGATGACTCTACTTCACATTCTTGTTCCAGTCTCACTCAGAGACAAGTGGCAACATATATTCAAACATAATGACATACTGTATACACAAAGTCAAGTCCCTTTTTTTCCGACACACGTAACATACAGAATACATACCGGTAGTTGAAATTATTGCAGGGACTGTGGGCAATTCACAACCAATGACTTCAAACCTCAGTGCAATGGCTCGATACCAGTCAACAGGCTTCAGCCTTATATATCTTGTCTCTACTGGTTCCTTAAACATCTGTTTCATGGGAACTACTGGGCTGGAGGGGCCACTGAAAACCTGTCAATATATAAAAACTTTAAAATAATGTAAGGAAAAAAGTTTTTCATTAGTAACAGACCTGTGGGTTTCTGTAGTCAAAGTTTAGTAATGATAAGAGACTCCTCCAAAAATACAGTGTATAGACCTTTCATAAAAGAAATTAAACATTAATGGATAAAACTCGAAGCCTGTGTAGAAGGCTGGCTTCCTCCATGAAGGAGGGGTCATCCCCTCCCACGCTAACTGCTTCCTCTCCCAGTACCAAAGAGAGACAGTGAGATCCATCAACCCGCCCCCCTCCCAACCCTGACACCAGGAGAGGTGCTTACAACGAAGATCTCTAAGACTGGGGCACTCCACGAGAAGGTGTCATGTAGTCAATGGGACCAGGCAGTCATCACAATAGGGATGGGGAGCCCTCCCCATTAAAAAACCATGAGTCAGTCGTGTGTGGTCAATGTAAAGGCGATTCAAAGCAGTCTCCCAGTGGCGCAACAGTCCCTAATATCCCCAGGTACCCAAAGCAGGGTGCATGCCGTGGGGCTTGTTTGCTCCAACGGCATCCCATCTGCATTGCCAATTCAATCAGATGGCAGTCTTATTATCGACTTCATATCAGAGGCAAGTAGATGGGAATGATGTGCCACAGGGCGAGAAACAGCTGCTTTCACCTCAACATCAGCGCACTCATTTCCCTTGTCTTCCATGTGGGCAGGAACCTAGTAAAAACTGACGTTTCAGCCCTGATATTGAATGAGAAACAGCCACTCTAAAATAGCTTTAGCCAAGGGATGGGATGATGGGACACTAGCTAAGGCCTGGAGTGCACTGTGAGAATTACTAAAAATTGTGCAATCATTATGAGGTTGGGTGAAAATAATCTTGAGGGAAAATAAAATACCTGAAAACTATGCCAAAAAAATAGATGCAATAGTGTGGAGACTACCATCCTGACAGAATTAGGGAAAGATCACCCCAAAACTACCCTGCATCCAACTTAAAGCCATCGATGCAAACAGAGATAGTCCCTCTGTGAGAGGAGGCTTGCTCTAAAAGAAAGACAATGAACCACACAGGGAAAGCGTAAGTCCTTCCTTTTGCTAAAACACTGACAAACTTGAACTTCAGGGAGAATTCACGGAGCAGCAACAAAAACCACATGGAGCATATCTGAACAGGAAGAAGGCAAAAAAGACTCACTAATTCCCTTACCCTGAAGCAAAAAGGTAGCAGGAGGCTTGGATGCTGAACGTATTGTGGGGGACAGTCTCGCCAACTACACAAGTGTTGGTTACAGAATGCAGAAAGCGATGGAGGCAAAACCAACACTGGACCTGGAGATACGGGCATCAAAGATCAAAGGGTGTCTCATCAGCATCAACCAGTAAACTTGAGATTGGCGAGGACTTGAAGGCACTGGTTGCCAGGCACACCCCAGCATGATGAATATAAAGTTCAGTGCATTGAGTGTAGCCTCAGTGGATGAGGAGTACAACTCACACCCATAATCCAGTTTGGGTCTACTTAGCATGTGATAAAGATGAAGCAGGGTTCCTCGATCAACACCCCCCGACGTTTGCCCCAAGACTCTCTCAATAACTTGAAAGCAAGTTGGCAAGACTCTTTGGGGTAACGAATATGTTAGTGCCACGCAAGTTGGTTGTTGAACATAATTCCCAGGAAACAGGTTCTCTATGACACACAGCACTAAGTGATTATAGAGCTGCAGATCGGGATCTGGGTGAACACCTCGGAGATGGCAGAAATGCATGGCAATGGTCTTCAAGGGGGGAAATCTGAAGCCATGTTTTGTGGTCCAACGTGAAACCTTGTCTAATGCAAGTTGCACGGAGCATTCAGCCACTGACATGCGGGAAGCTGCATACCAAATGGCCAAGTTGTCTACATACAATGAGATAGATACACCACCTGGAACCGATGCTACTAACCCATTTATTGCGATGGAAAATAGGGTCACACTCAAAGCACTGCCCTGAGGAACCCCGTCCTCCTGAATAAGTTGTGCTGACATTTCTGTGGCAAGACGGACCCTAAAAGTGTGATGGCGCAAGAACTGACGGTAAATTTCCCTGCAAACCAAAATTGTGAAGCTTCTTAAGGATGCCGAATCTCCAAGCTGTCATATGTTTTCTCTAGGTCAAATAAAATGCAGATGAGATGTTGGTGACGAGCAAAGGCCTCACAGATTGAGGACTCAAAATAAACAAGAGCATCTTTTGAATGCATCTTCCAGAAGCCAGCTTGATATGGTAAAAGAAGGGCATTCTTCTCCATGTACCTGTAGTATACTAACTGGGAATTGACCATCTTTTCAAACAGCTTGCAGATACAGGAGATCAGAGCTCGGAGGCGATATTTTTGAGGGTGAAGTCCCTATTTCCAGTCTTCATGAAAGGCAGGACAGTAGCCTCCTACCATGAGGCCGGGAAGGCACCCTCTTGCTAGATCCTGTTATATAGCCCCAATAGAAAGGTCTGTGCCTCAACTTCAAGGTGGCGGAGCATTGAAAATGGGATATCATCAGACCCTGGTGATGTATCTCCAGTGAGTGAGAGGGCAGTTCTCATTTCTTTCATTGAGAACATGATGTTGTATGTCTCGTCACGTCCCACTCCAAAATACAGGGTCTGTGATTCCTCTACTCTACTCACCCACTTAAACTCTGAGAATCGAGCTACCATGGAAGACACACCTGCAAATTCTGAATGGAAAATCTCTGTAACTTCTTGAGGGGCAACAACAGAGCTCCCATCATTATTCTGGAGTCTTTTAATTTACAGAAGAAACATAAGTGGAAAAAGACTGGTGATGGGCATTCCTTAAAGCTCAACGAGCTTGGGCTCCGGCCTGTTTGTATCCCACATGATAAAATTCCATCCTATGATGTTGGTAGCAACCATTAGGCTCTGTGCCGCTCAACAATTGTCTGCCTGCACTCCTCTGACCACCAAGGAACAGGTCGGCGAGCTACATGGCTCTAGGTCCGAGGAATGGAACAGTGACCAACCCATCCCAGGAGGGTGGCTATGTAATCAACAGCTTCATCTACTGAGGGAGATTCTTCAATGCTCCTGTCTACCTTCACCAGTTTCTTGTACAATTCCCAGTCCACTTTGTCTAATCGCCAACAGGGAACTCGTGGTGTCGGGAAGACTTCTGAGGAGGAAAGTAGGATAGGGTAATGGTCACTTCCTTTGAGGTTGTCTGTTACTCTCCACTCAAAGTCCATTAGAGAGTCTGCTGAGCACAATGAGAGATCTATGACTGTAGTCGTGTTGGTCTGGACATGATAGTGGGTGTTATCACCAGTATTAAATATACCCAGGTCCATTTCTTCAATTATCGAAGCTATCAGGTCACCCCTTGGATTAACTATCGTATCACCCCAGAGGGTATGCCTTCCATTAAAATCACCGAGGATAAGACTAGGAAAAGGAAGTTGCCGAATTAATGAAACCAAATCCTCCCTGGCAATTGGTGTACTGGGTGGGAGGTAAATGGAGCACATGGTATAGGTACGTTGGAGGTGAATCTTGCAAGCTGTTACCTGCAACGGGGAAGTTGAAGAGAGTAAAAAGCCGAATAACCTCTGGGAGGGGATGATCATAGGCACCTAATGCTGTGTCATGGAGACAAATGCATATAGGGGCGAAATTGCTCAGGAGCAACTGGAGCTCCTCCAAGTTGGCTCTTAAGTCTCGACAATTCCATTAGACTATGGTAACCATGATTATTGTATATTTAGGTAGGGGTATACAGGCGTGCAGCCCCCCAACAGACGTTTAGGTTTAGGCTTGATTAATGTGTTGGAGCCTGCACGATGCACCAGGAGTGTACAACAATGAGCGCCTCCTCTACTGCTCCAGGGTTGAAATATACATCTGCGGCTTTGTGGACACAGGTGACCGATGGACCCATGCCAGAGTTATCCCCTGGAGATGGCTCCCCAGTTGGAAGATCAGTAGAGGTGATCCCTGTGTTAGGGGTCCCAGCTGCCAGTGTAAGAATAGCTGGAGTCCCATCATCAGGGGCATCTAGGTGGGGATCAGCCAACATTTCCGGGGAGGAGGCACCAGCCTGAGGTGACATCTGTTGGAGTGTCTAGGACTCATAATTTGGTTCTGAAGTTGGTAAAGTGGTCTCGCTTCCTTCGCAACAGTCGGACAATTCCACAATTGAGACCTTGGCTGGAGGATCGTCCACCTCCAGATACTTTGAGGACCCTCGAAAGCATCTTGCTGAATTTTTTGTAGTTCCAGGATGGCTGGTGGAAGAAAGATGAAGAATAGCAGATGTGCCTGCCTCATCCATATGGACCTCAGCTACTACGAGAGAAGTCTGAGGACTGAGAATTGGTGGGACAGAGTCGGGTGTGGGAGCTGAATTCAATATAGGTACTGATGATTCTCGGGGCGGTGTCACAGCAACAGTTCATCGAGACTTGTGTCGGGATAGAACCTGTGCATAGGAATCCCCATGACTTGGGAGTGAATTTAGTGCTGTGCTTCTGGCTTCACCAAAGCTCACTTTGTCTCTCGTGCGGAGATGGAGGATCTCTCTCTCTCTCTCTCTCTCTCTCTCTCTCTCTCTCTCTCTCTCTCTCGAGCTGGAACCAGTTACATTCACTAGAAGAGCCCGGGTGCGCCTCACTGCAGTGAAAATAGCAGACTAGACCCGGACATTTCTGACCCTCATGGGTATTACCACAGTTAACACACACTGCAAGAACACCGTGCTCTAACTTACAACAAGCGTGGCTGACATGGCCATACATCTGACAATGGAAGCATCGTCTAGGGTTTAGGACATATGGTTTCACCTTAAGAGAGATCCAGGCAACCTTGATAGAGGTTGGAATTTCAAAGCAATCAAATGTCAATAACAGAGTTGGTGTAGGGTTAAGAGCGCCATTTTCTTTCTTGCAGAACCTATCCATTTTCACCACCCTTTGGACTCACAGCTCCTCCAGAAGCTTCTCCTCTGAGTATTGGAGCAGCTCTTTAGAGAATACCACTGCTCGACACTGGTTAAAGGTGGTATGTGGAGTACAGGAGACTGGGGCTCCAGGAACCTCAGACAGGGTACGGAGTCAAGCACTCTCCTGGGGGGAGGAGACCTCCACTAGGAGGCTGCCATCTTGCTGGGTGGATATTTTTGTGTCTCTCCCATAAATTGTTACAACTGACCTGTGAACATCAAAAATGTCCAGGACCATTACAGGCCAGCCTTCTATGGTACAGAGCACTAGATATTTAGGAAAATCCACCTATTTGAACACACCTGGTAAGATCTCATGGGTAGAAGCATCATGGAGGGTGCCAGGACCAGTGGGCCTCTTGCGGCTCTTATACTTGAGTATTTGTCGGGACCCACGTTTTAGTATCTGGTAGGTGCTGCAATGTGACAATTGATGATCCTTAGGAGGGTCCAGGGATGGGTGCAGGGTCCCCAGGGGGGGATGAGGCCAGATAATTTTGTTAATGTCAAGCATAAAAAAAATTCATTCTCCCACCCACCATGGAGCGGTCAATGCCAGAGATAAGACCCTGGTGACCCCAGGAGTAGCGTTGGAGTATCCGCAGGTAACCACCAGGTGGCCAGGACGGCAGTTCCTGGACTATTGGAGTGTCGGGTCCCCTGATGCCCGCTTGACCCTAGCCACACTGTGACCAGCCGATTGACTTGATTGGGCCCAACCAAGCCACCCGTCTAGCTGGAATGGGGGGCAAGAGAAATGTGTTGCTAGCCACGGGGAGCAGCGTGCAGCATTGTTCAACCTCCAGGACTCTTGTATCCCAGTATTATGGGACGCCACCCATGGCAAACACATGGAAGAATATTCCAGCCCCGGCGGTCTGGGCTGGGAACGATGCTGCTGGTCTCCTCTCAAAACTGGCAGCAGGATAGGAGTCATTTTGTCTGGACCCTCCCCAGTGACCTACCCAGTTTGGGAAACTCTTCCCCTCCTTCTGAGGAGGGAAGGAAGGGGAGCCAAGCACCACTCTGGTACAACCCACCGGATCATCGGGAATTGCAAGATCCCCCCACACACACTTCAGCAAGGTGGCTCCCACTGGGGGGCTTTTTATAGGCTTTCACATTTTTCGGACTGGGGTCTGCTCCAATTAGTCCGATTATCGGACAACGAGATCAAAGATAAAATAATACTAAATAAACAGGCAACAACCTTTTGAAAGTAATCTATAAGGGTGGCCCAGAATATCCTATCGATCCCATTTACCCGCACATACCTCAGCGGGTTAGTGATAAAGCTTCATGAGAGGAAATTATCCACTAACCACCTATATTTGCAGTATACCTGTATTCTTATTTGTTCTTTTTAAATTACATTACGAAGAATAAACTAATGCAATTTTGGGCAAATTCATCACAGCTTGGAATAAGTGAAATTTATGCAAACTATCCCGTATCCAGCAAACTAGGGAGATTCTTCTGTTTAGCAAATACCATATGCCATTCCACAAACATGTTTTACCTTGACAGGCCCAGCTGGGTTCCCGGGGTCACGTGGCAGCACACTCCAGATGACGTTGTCTCGGGAGACTTGAACAGTGAAGGCCGTGACTCTCTCCCTGGTGAGGGGGTTGCCAGCCACCTCCACGCCATACACAGGCACCACTGAGCCAAGGTCCACTTGGACGAATTGATCTCTGTCATTATCCCTCGATGCCCAGCTCCTCACTGTATAGTAAAGTATAAATAAATATCTTCTGCATCTTACATATAAAATTAACCATCTAAAATGACCTATCAACTTTAATGTGTCAATTTAAATACGCATAAAATGTCTGTTCGAGTATATGGGGTATTAAACAAATGGTAATGGTCACCTTAGAGTCTAAGGCTTAGACGTTAATGGCTTCTCAAAATAACACAAGTAAATATTTCTTTAATTAGTGCTCAGGTCACCTACTTGTAAGATTGCCATCATTATAGTAGAGTCGTGCACTAGAAGGTCCATACATAGAGTTACGAGCAGGAGTGGAGGAGAAAGAGCTGTCCTCTACCTCATCAAGCAGGTTGATGTATCTACAAATTAATTAATTAATCATGAGTAACTTATATAAATTTGTGAAATGTTTATATCTAAAAAGAATTGTATCCTTGTATTTTTTATTAAAAATTTTACTTGTCTGAATTATTATTACTATATTATTATTATTATTATTATTATTATTATTATTATTATTATTATTATTATTATTATTATTATTATTATTATCATTATTATTATTATTATTATTATTATCATCATCATTATGATCATTATCATTTTTATTATTTTTATTATTATTATTATTATTATTATTATTATTATTATTATTATTATTATTTTTATTATTATCATCATTATTATTATTATTATCATTATTATCATTATTATCATTATTATTATTATTATTATTATTATTATTATTATTATTATTATTATTATTATTACATTTTCACCCCCAGGCCCCGATGTGGGTCAGTAACCTGTGCCTGGGTGGGTTAATCCCCTTAAAAAAAAAAGATAAAAAATAAAGCCTAAAACCAACTTTAAGTACTCTACAATATACAGTAAACCTTCACAATAATGAACTTTTCAATGAGGGATTTTCCTAATAAGGGACATAATTTTGTCTGATATAATTAGTAGACTTGGCCAGTAACACACAGTGAAGGGAACACTGTCCATAATGTGTACTTGTACTGCCATTAAACTAACACCAAAGTGATGGTAGTGACTGCAGTAATGCCAAAAGAAAACCTAAAAACATTTGTAACAAAAGAAAAAGAGGAAATCCTTCCAAATCTCAATAGAAAAACTGCATGACCAAGCAATTTTAGATTCCTGGCACACAAGTATATCATAATATAAACTCATGCCAAATATAAGATGTCCATTTTGAAAAATGTAAATGATTCATTAAATTTTTGTGCATTATTTTATGCAGTAAACTCCCTCTAACCTTGACTTGACACACTTATCCGCACCCCTTACAAACCGGACTGGGGTCCATCACCAGACACATGGATCCCAACCCAGAAAACAAAATAAAAATCCAGTTAGTATGGGAGGTACTGTAATTCCATATAAGTGGGGACTGCCGCTGTGATGGTAGTAGATGTGGCTGCTGAGGAGCAATTAAGTGAAGTGTCTAATAAATGTAAACACACCCTGTAGTGCACACCACATAATTATAGTTCATGAAATTAGCAGTGAAAACATAATCTCGGCTTCATCTTTGGTTACGTAGGAAAGCCTCCAATAATGACGGTTCTACTAACGACGACTCGTTTTTAAAACCCTGGTTAATTTAGGACCCAATTCAATTTACACCGTCATTATATATATATATATATATATATATATATATATATATATATATATATATATATATATATATATATATATATATAAGTAAATCACTGTGGGTGCGCGTGATCCAGGTATATGCTGATAACCACAAGGAAAGAAGAAACACGAAGTTCCCATTTTATAGTATATATATATATATATATATATATATATATATATATATATATATATATATATATATATATATATATATATATATATATATATATTAAAAACATGCCTTGCACATGAATGCTGCTGGGCTTGTAAGTGGTCATCAGTGATCACTAACACAAACAGTTGCAGCTTAGCGGGCATTTTGTTTTCATGTAACTGAACAGGACCAGGAGAAAAACTTTCTCAGGTATCTTACGGCATTTTAGTATCCCTATTCAACATGAGCAAGAGAGCAAGTGATGATAGTGATGGTTTAAACGCTAAAAGAAAGTGTATAAGCTTAGCCGAGAAACTAGATGTGTTAAAACGATATTAAAAAGGTGAGGTCTGTGGATATTTCATGCGCTTTGGGGATGGCGGATTGAACTCTCCATACGAATGAAGAAATAATTAAGAAAGTGCTGAGTTGATGAAGACAATGTTCAGGAGCTATTAATACAGTGACAGAGAAGACCTAACAAGAGCACGAGTGGAACACAACACACCAACAGATTGCTCACTCCTCATCTTCTTGCCAATTTATGACAACATTGGCTGTGTCCTTTAAGTTCTTGACTTTACCACCATTGGTGAGAAGTAGAATTTTTGTTTTACATTCATAAGCATGAAAAGTAATAAGTGTTGCTTTGATATCCCTATGTAGAAAAATGATGCTATGTTTTCATGTGTGCGTACGTACAGTACATACGGTGGCCTTGTACAATCCAACTCACTTTTTTTACCATCAGTGGTTACTTTTACTGTACATTAAGTAACATTAATTAAAACATACATATTCTTTCTTTTCTTACATTGATCTTTCTACAGCTATAACCAGGGTCTTATTTTCGTCAGTTTCGTATGTAGAACCATCATCATGGGTGTAAACACTAACGAAAACAATGCCGTCTCGTTTCCTCTTGTGTGTTTTAATATTCAACGTATTATTAATGTGTTGCTCATTTCACATACAGAAACATTAATTCAATCAAATAGATATTCAGTAATAAACAATAAAGAATCTTTTGCATATATTCTTAATAAGATAAATGACACTGTTTTCATGAGTACACACTACATCCTTGACCACGGTAGGTTTTTTTTTTTTTTTTTTTTTAGGTTAAGGTAGGGAATGGATGGGAGGCATTCTGGGACTCAAGGCATAGCCAGACATGAGGGATAGAGAAGTCACAACATATAGTGTTTGGAGGCTTCCCTGCTTTTGGTATAAGGCGAATAATGGCGATTTTGAAAATCTTAAGGAAGTATCCAGAGGCGAGGCACGCGGGCGTTGCATATATGAGCAAGCCTCTCTATCATGTTGTCGAGGAGTTGAGCCAGGATCTTCTTGTTAATGTGGCTTTGCCCAGGTGATTTGTTTTTAAACCCTTTTATGACGTCTGACACATCTGCAGGAACTATGCGCTCCGTCAGGTAGCTTCCGTCCACCAGTCTAGTGAAGTCAGTATGTGGGAGCGGCTGGAGCAGGTGCTGATGGTCCTGCAACTGACCTAAAATGTCCTCCTCAATCTCCCTGTCGAAGCTACATGAACAAAAGTGGGCCTCCTTGGTGTGGGAGGCAGCCAACAATTACCGCGATTCTGCTGCATTCTGGAAAGGAATCAAGTGACTGATGGGTTCCACCTCTAGCACGGTCCCTTACCTGCTCGACCAAAACAACGTGAAAATATTCGAGGAGGAAAACCGAGAACAACTACATCGGCAATATTTACGGAAGATCTTTACCATTAGTGAACAGGAGAACGAGGGCTTCGACAGGGAGTTTGAGGAGGACATTTTCGGTCAGTTGCAGGACTATCAGCACCGTAGGGTCGAGACCTATTCAGGAGCTGCTCCTGCTGAGCAGCGGCCCCCCTTGGCCAATGTTCGGCTCATTCCTCAGGTCCCTCTCCCCGACCCATCCTCACCACCGGGATATCAACAAAATCAAAAGTGACAATTTCGTTTCGGAAAGAAGTGGGACCAGTGTTGAACAGTGTTTAGGCCAGTGAATTCAGCACTAGACAGTACCAGTGAGAGCCGTGACCCACCAGTGGGATAAGCACCCCTGGGAACTGACCGCCGTCTTCTGACCGGGAGGTGCTAATTAGTCCACCATTGGAACAACAGAGGGCCAGCTGGCTATGCACCTGACTACGAGATAACACAACACCACCCAGCAGGGCGAGATACTGTGACACCACCACACACCACCCGGTGTCTCCATGACCACGTGAGGTCCTTCATATCAACACCCTAGGACGAGTTACTGCACCACGTGAACACCACACCACCCAGTGTTTCCATGAACACATGAGGTCATTCATATCAACGCCCGAGGACGAGTTACTGCACCACGTGAACACCACACCACCCAGTGTCTCCATGACCACGTGAGGTCCTTCATATCAACACCCGAGGACGAGTTACTGCACCACGTGAACACCACACTACCTGGTGTCTCCATGACCACGTGAGGTCCTTCATATCAAAACACCCGAGGACGAGTTACTACACCACGTGAACACCACACCACCTGGTGTCTCCATGACCAGCCCAGGCCCGGGCCATCAACTGTAAACTATAATAATTTGTATGTTCAATCATTGTTCCTTCTTCTTTCAGTAATGAAAGCTTTTGTTAAACGACCCACCCACCCCATATCTTTGTATGTAATAAGTCATTTTTGTCCAATGTATATTTTCAGCGTTCGGGCTGCTGAACTTTTACAATAAACCGTTAATTATTATTATTATTATTATTATTATTATTATTATTATTATTATTATTATTATTATTATTACATAAACTGGCCTTCCGCTATTAGTCTCTCACTTTTGTCTTTACCATCAGTGGTTACTTCTACTGTATATTAAATAATATTAATTAAAACATAAATATTTTAGACATTAATTTTACTACAACAAAAACCAGGGTCTTATATTCTTCAGTTTCAGATGGATAACTGACATCATGGGTGTAAACACTGACAACAACACTGGCGTCTCATCCCCTCTTGTGTGACCATATTACTGTAATGTATTTAAAAAATATAGTTTGCATTTTTCATTAATTTTACTGTTCTGGGGGAAAAGGGCGTAAAAATCCACACAAAAGATTCATGATAAGATGATTCACCTTACACTGCAATATTGGAGTTCACATTACTGCTGTTATTCGAGGCCTTAGTGCCATATAAAACACTCTTCTACTTTGTACGAGTCTCTTATCACTCTCCCATTATATTAGGCCATGTCCTTGAGCAAAAATAAATACAGTGAGCAAAATTTTGTATAAACCTTTATCCACAGCATCTGTTCTAACTGTGTTAGAAATATAAATTTGGTACAGTACTGTAATGATCATAAATACACTTTTTACAAGTTTGTTTAAATGCAAGATCCTTCAATAAATAATTTGGACATGAAATGATGTTGGGAACTCAATTTTGTAAAGAAAAACGTTAGAAAGTTTTATCCCAGAGTCTATAAAATCAGTTATAATTATGTGAGAATCACCACTGTTGTTTACCCAACTGACTACTGTGAAAATTATCGCGATGTATACAGTATATATATGACTGTACAGTAGGGTCGGGATGTATAGCGATTTTTTTTTAACGATTTTTTTATATAGTGACTACCAAAATTATCGACATTTTCCAATATATACCGATAAATCTATTTATTTTGCGAGGGAAATCGGGCAGAAAATATTTCAAATTTACCACCATGGCAAACAAATGGGTTATTTGCTCACCAGAGGCACCACCGTGGCTGCTCACTCACGCAGTCACGCTCGCCCGCACAGTCTTTCTGAATCAGCGGCAAGAGTGACAAGTCAGCAGCCGACTCTTCTGCAGATTCCGACTTCGAAGGAGAGTGTAAATGGGTTGCTAGTGACGTGAAAAGTGAAATGAAGAGAATGGAAAGCTTAATGGAAAAGATTTAATACTGTAACTAATATTTTTGGTTTGTTCATAAATGTAGGTGTGGGGTTGTCAAGTGAGGGTGACAGTGTATCGTCTGCTGCTGAGTCTGGTGTTCCCTGGATGGTGCTTCAGCTGCCGAGTCTTGTGTTCCCGAGTCTAATGTTCATTGGTGCTTTAGTTAGCAAGAAAATAAACTCGCTAAGTCAATTTTAGTCACTTTTATTGGCCTACAGAACCTAACCCTATTTTCCCCATTAATTACATGTAATTATATATCGCGATATAGTATATGGCGAACATCCTTGGACCAAATCTCGCGATATATCCCGACCCTAAAGCATATAATTATCTATACAATAAAATTATTGCTCCAGTCATGTAGCGAATTTTAGGATTTTAAGTTCTGGAATCAATAGTTTACACAATTTAAAAAAGGGAAAATGTGGGGTAAAATACCAGAAAAACACTAAACAAACTTTTGAAAGCCTTTCCTAACAATTCGTAACCTTTAAAGTTCCTAAAACTATAAAAAGTTTACCCTATTCATGTTTTCGGTGTTTAGTAGGTGATGGTGTTGTTTCCAGTATTTAGGATGTGTTGGTGTTGTTTTCGGTGTTCAGATGAGGAGGAATCCATAAACTCTTAAGTGATTCTTAACATTTTTATAAGTTAGGAAACGTTAGGCAAGGTTTTCAAAGGTTTGTTTAGTGTTTTATTTTTTTATTTTACCCCACATTTTCCCGCCATATCACGCATCTAAGGGATGCCGCCCAGACGAGGAACGACGGATCAGCGAGATGAGCGATAACACTCCTAGCAACAAGAGAGCTACTATTCCCTGGCGAGGATATTTGCTACACTAGCAACTAATTTAGTATAAAAACTCAGTTTATTTAATATGTGTGTCTCAAGAATCATAATAACCATGATGTAATCTACTATAGATACCTAGGCATCCAAGGAATCTCCATGATGAGCATCTAAGGCTGAGGAATTATTGTTATATCATAGTTTATTTAGGCTATCAAACCTAACTATGTTGTTTCAGATACCGATATGCACGGACAATAGAGGTGGGATAATGTTTTTGGCCAATACATTTATGATGGTTTAGATGGTCTCAAATTATAACATGTAAGGAAGCAAGCATCGATGACATCAGATGTCATGACCGGTAACACATTGAAAATTTATAATCCCTTTGTGAAACACTTATACCAGGATACTCACAGTGTACATAGTACAGTACATGAAAATACACGATCCTACTCCATAGCAGTAAAAAAAAATCCCACGGCTACAAATTTGTTCCAGTATTTGATAGTGTAGCCGTATTATTTTTTGACTGCTACGCAGTAGGGTCTTGTACTTTCATGTAATAAGTGTTACCATATGATAGGCAGCCCTACCACTTATGTGCACGCATAAATCACTATTCTAAATTCCCAACACTGACTTGTTGGTAGACTGTCACATTTTTAATAAAATTAGTTTCTGATTATTTGTGAGATTACTTTCCCATTATTATTTATTTGTATGTGTTTTGTGCGTGTGTGTCTACACACACACACACACACACACACACACACACATATTTACAATACAGGCAACATTTGAGCAACACATCAACAATTCTATAAATTTAGGACTTCTACACAACTCTTCCCACACTTCCGTACACCTCTATACCAGCGTAGTTGAAAAAGTGTTGCCGGTGAAGTATGAGATAAGATAAGATGAGAAGCGGTAGCATCCAGTAACCATTGTTGGAGTAAGAGTGATTTTCTCTTGTGATTGTCCATGTGGTGTTTTGCTTTTGTGTAACTTTTGACCCTTATTATGACTGACAAATGCAAATCAACATCCAAAGACACCACCCAACCCAAGAAATAGTGAAAAGCCATCACTATTGGTGTAAAATTAGGACATAATAAGCCACATTGTGAGGGGAAAATTCCTAGCCAATGCCACTTGGTGTAGGAAAAATTTTTCATTACAATATTATTTTCTTTTAGTAGATAGACTGTATTAAATATTTATTTTAGATAGGCTGTATTATTTCATTTTTAATTTCCTTATTATTGTGAGTTATAAATAGCATAAAAAATAAAACACAGTAATTGGTATAAATGCATAAATGAGTTTTGAGGTATCACTCCTCATATCTCCACCATTTCCCTTATTTCTCATGGGGAAAATTAAGTTTGCTTTAAGAGTTTATGAGTTACGCAGTCATTTTCAAGAAACTATACTTTTCCTATTGACTTAATTTAACTTACTTGTCAGGATCACAAACAGACGGTGGAGTGAAGAAGTCAGGGATAACTGTGGTTGTCACTGTAGTAGTTGTCTCTGTCAAAAGTTTTCCAAAAATTTTCATTAGTTCAGGTCATGCAAACCACACATAGAAATAATTCCTTGTTTCATTATTTTATCAACCGCATAATTTATTCTCATTCTACAACATATTTTATTGTTACCATATACAGATTCTTTCAATCTTTCCCTTACAACTTGATTCAAAATTATTTCTAACAATTTTATACTTTTACTGTACTAACAAACCATTATATCAGAGGAATATCTCCGTTAGCGAGAATCCCTCTTAAGGGTAGCGTCCGGCTGAAGCACGAAATTCATTAATAATTGATTAATCAATATAAATTTCCTGTCAGCAATTAAAGACACCAGACACATTGTTGCTATAGTCCTGAATCTGTTCTGCCTAATCCCTAATCCCTGATACCTGATTTTTCCCTTATATTATCAATTTTCAAAATCCTACTTCTCCATAACTTCTTGCTTGATTAGGGTGAAAATCATGAGGAGTATAGGAAATTTACTCCTCTTGAACGTTACATATAGATATTTATAGAAGATTATAGCTTTCATTTTAAGTGCATGAATTTTTTTCCTAACTTACCAATTTTTCCTCCAAATATTTAAAAAGATAAATCAGCAAATAATAAACCAAGCCAAATATAAAGAAAATCTACATGTTCAGTCACGCACAATATGTTATTCTACTACTGAGTTTTTGTTTGATTAGAATCGGTCCATAAATGGCCGAGCCTAAAGGAATTGAAGGTTAGAAAAATTTGTTGTGCAATACAGGCCGCTGAAGGTGCCCAGCAGCAACAGACGGCCGAACCTGACTTTTACTTCTTCAGGGGTAACTGAGGAGTACAAGCAGCCTCAGCCTCTCATCCTGTTTTTAGCTGGCTGAGAAACGTACCACATACTGACTTTTACCAAGTGATTGGTACTACTTTACACCAAATAATATAACAAAAATGTTTCTGCAGCTTTTGCTACGTAAACAGCAGGGCCCCCTAAATGAAGAGGGGGTAGAACAATCATGCATTGCTACATAAATATTAGGAATTATGCAATCAAAATATGTCAACATATAGCCACAAGCAACAGCTTTTATCAGGAATTTTAATGAATATATTCGTAATTTTCTGATTTTCATCGTATTTTCAGCAAGATTCTACCCTTAACTGGAACTCTCAGATATCTGGAATTTAAATTTTCTCAGAATATCGTTCCCAAAGCCGAAATTTTCCGGAAAATTCCGGCTTTGGGAACAGCAACACTCACCACCACCACCAACAACAACACTTTCCACCAAAAACAAAAAAAACACTCACTGCCACCACCAACAACACTAACCACCAAAACAACAACACTCACCACCACCACCAACAACACTCACCACCACCAACAACAACAACACTCACCACCACCATCACCAACAACACTAACCACCAAAACAACAACACTCACCACCACCACCAACAACACTCACCACCACCAACAACAACAACAACACTCACCACCACCATCACCAACAACACTAACCACCAAAACAACAACACTCACCACCACCAACAACAACAACACTCACCACCACCATCACCAACAACACTAACCACCAAAACAACAACACTCACCACCACCAACAACAACACTCACCACCACCAACAACAACAACAACACTCACCACCACCATCACCAACAACACTAACCACCAAAACAACAACACTCACCACCAACAACAACACTCACCACCACCAACAATAACCAACACTCACCACCATCACCAACAACACTAACCACAAAACAACAAAGACTCACCACCAGCACCAGCAACAACGCCTAACCACAAAACAACAACACTCACCACCACCACCAACAACAGCACTAACCACAAAACAACAACACTCCCACCACCACCAACAACAACCAACAACCTCACTCCACCACCACACACCAACAACACTAACCACCAAAACAACAACACTCACCACCACCACCAACAACAACAACAACAACAACACTCCACCACCACCACAACACACCACCAAAACAACCACACTCACCACCACCACAACAGCACTAACCACCAAAACAACAACACTCACCACCACCAACAACAACACTCACCACCACCAACAACAACAACAACACTCACCACCATCACCAACAACACTACCCACTAAACAACAACACTCACCACCACCGCAACCTTACCCCCACAACCATCACCACCACCACCAACAACACCAACCACACCGCACAACAACACCTCCACCACCAACAACAACACTCTGCACCACCAACAACCAACAACAGCACTCACCACCACCATCACCAACACTAACCACCAAACAACAAACTCACCACCAGCACCAACAACAACACTAACCGCAAAACAACAACACTCACCACCACCAACCAACAACACTAACCGCAAAACAACAACACTCACCACCACCACCAACAACAACAACAACAACAACACTCACCACCACCACCACCAACAACACTAACCACCAAAACAACAACACTCACCACCACCAGCAACAACAACACTCCACCAACAACAACGCCACCACCAACAACAACAACAACACTCACCACCACCAACAACAGCAACAACACTCACCACCACCATCACCAACAACACTAACCACCAAAACAACAGCATACACCACCAACAGCACTCACCACCACAACAACAACACACCCAACAACAACACTCACCACACCACCAGCAACAACAACAACACCACCACTCACCATCACCAACACTATCCAAAACCTAAAGCTCAGCTGCCAACCAGCACACTAACCACCAAAACAACAACACTCACCACCACCGCAACAGCAACACTAACCACCAAAACAACAACAACAGCACTCACCACCACCACCCAGCAACAACAACAACAACACTCACCACACCACCAGCAACAACACTAACCACTCAAAACAACAACACTCACCACCACCAACAACAACAACACTCACCACCAACAACAACAACATCACACCACCACCAACAACACTAACCACCAAAACAACAACACTCACCACCACCAACAACAAGCACTCACCACCAACAACAACAACAACACTCAACCACCATCACCAACAACACAACCACTAAAACAACAAAACTCACCACCACACCAGCAACAACACCAACCACAAAACAACAACACTCCACCCACCAACCAGCAACACTCTACACCACCAACAACAACAGCAAACTCCCACCACCACCATCACCAACAACGCTAACCGCAAAACAACAAGACTCACCACCAACACCAGCAACAACACTAACCACCAAAACAACAACACTCACCCACCAACCACTAACCACCAAAACAAGCCTCACACCACCAACAACAACAACACTCACCACACAGCAACAACAACACTAACCGCACCATGCAACAGCACTAACCCAAACAACCTCACACCAAAACAACAACACTCACCACCAACAACAACAACAACACTAACCGCAAAACAACAACACTCACCACCACCAGCAACAACAACACTCACCCACCACCAACAACAACACTAACCACAAAACAACAACACTCACCACCACCAACAACAACAACACTCACCACCAGCAACAACCAACACTCACCACCACCACCAACAACAGCACTCACCACCACCACCACCAGCAACAGCACTAACCACCAAAACAACAACACTCACCACCAACAACAACAACACTCACCACCAACAACAACAACAACACTCAACCACCAGCAACCAACAACAACACTAACCACCAAAAAGTAACACTCACCACCACCAGCAACAGCAACATCACCACCACCAGCCAACAACCAGCACTAACCGCAAACAACAACACTCACCACCACCAACAACAACCAACACTCACCACCACCAGCAACAACACTAACCACCAAAACAACAACGCTCACCACCACCAACAACAACAACACTCACCACCAACAACAACACTCCACCACCACCAACAACAACAACACTCACCACCAACAACAACAACAACACTAACCACCAAAAACAACACTCACCACCACCAACAACAACAACACTCACCACTACAACAACAGCAACCAACAACAACACTCACCACCACCACACCAGCAGCATAACCGCAAAACAACAACACTCACCACCACCAACAAAACAACACTCACCACCAACAACAACAACAACACTCCCACCACCAACAACAACAACAACACTCCACCACCACCATCACCAACAACACTCAACCACCAAAACAAACAACACTCACCACCACCAACAACAACGCTCCACCACCACCAACAACAAAACAACCTCACCACCACCATCACCAACAACACTCCACCACCACCAACAACACTCCACCACCAGCAACCAACAACAACACTCCACCACCATCACCAACAACACTAACCACCAAAACAACAACACTCACCACCACCAGAACAACAACAACACTCACCACCACCACCAGCACTAACCACCAAAACAACAACACTCCCACCAACAACAACAACAACACTAACCACAAAACAACAACACTCACCACCACCACCACCAACAACAACCAGCAAACAACACTCACCACCACCAACAACAACAACAACAACACTCCACCACCACCATCACCAACAACACTAACCACCAAAACAACAACACTCACCACCACCACCAGCAACACTCACCACCACCAGCAACAACAACAACACTCACCACCACCATCACCAACAACACTAACCACAAAACAACAACACTCACCCACCACCACCACCAACAACAACAACAACAACACTCACCACCACCAACAACAACAACAACAACAACACTCTACCAACAACAACAACAACACTAACCACCAAAACAACAACACTCCACCACCACCAACAACAACACTCACCACCAACAACCAACAACACTCACCACCACCATCACCAACAACACTAACCACTAAAACAACAACACTCAGCCAACAACAACAACAACACTAACCACCAAAACAACAACACTCACCACCACCACCA